GATCTGGCTTTCTTTCACTTTCTTTGTGTTGTTCTTGTTTCTAGAGATCAGCTTTTACTTGTCGCTTTATGTGCTGTATTTCCACAATGTAGATCTTCGATTTCCTCTGAACATAACTTGCTGAAAAATTGCATCATTAAGTTATAATTTCCATATTTAGTTAGTAGACGGATAGTGAAAAAAAATGGGTTAGTTCTTAATGTTCCTTCTGGAATGCTGTAATGCAGGTATGACTATTCTGGCTATGGAGCTTCTACTGGTAAGGTAGGTTGTCTTCACTTGGAATTGCATCCCTACATTTTAGCACTCTAATGGCTTTCAATTAATAAATCTGCAGCTACATCCAGATTGTATGTAGGATTTAGAATACATTTTAACACTGTTATAAGAGAAACTGGTGGTATGCACAGACAGTGGGCAACAGAATTGATTAAAAGGAGAATAGATGAAAATAAAGCGAGTTCAGATTGCCACTTAAAGAACAATGTATTTTCTGTATTGAGCTTGCTAAAGATAATTGAAAGTGCATTTTCTTTTGTACTTGCCAGCCCAGTGAATCAAATACTTATGCAGATATAGAGGCAGTTTATCAGTGTCTTCAGACTGAGTATGGAATTAGCCAGGAAGATCTGATTTTGTATGGGCAGTCTGTTGGAAGTGGCCCAACACTGCACTTGGCATCGAAGCTGCCTAGGTTAAGAGGTGTGGTTCTACACAGCGGCATACTTTCTGGTCTTCGTGTGCTCTGCCATGTAAAGTTCTCGTTTTGTTATGACATATATAAGGTAAGAATCAATCTTGTTCTGCCTGACTTTCAAGGGAGATGGAATTGTTTGTTTTTACTACTACCAATTCATTTACATTTATATGCATATTTCAGTAAACTTTGTGGTCTTGCTCCTGCTGTTTTGCTGATTAATGTCAACATAAAATGCAGAATATTAACAAAATTAAGAAGGTGAAGTGCCCTGTGCTTGTAATACATGTAAGATGGTTTGATGGTTAGATTCTGGTAACTATTTTCAATCATTTTTCTGGTCATGTTGAATTTTAAGATGGTTTGATGGAATATTACTCAGGGTACAGAAGATGATGTTGTTAATTGGCTTCATGGGAATGGATTGTGGGAAAAGGCAAGGGAGCCATATGAGCCCTTATGGATTAAAGGAGGCGGGCACTGCAACTTGGAGCTATACCCTGATTACATCCGCCATCTCTGCAAGTTCATTCATGAAATGGAGAACATAACAACAGCAAGTCGCCTTAAAAAGATACAGCAGAGTCTTCATCTACCAACAAGGTCGAATGGTACCTCAGTTACTTTTAATAAGTGCTGTAGGATCAGGTTCTCTAAACCCAAATGCCCAGCGTATTCAAAACCTAGATGCATTAAATGTCCCTCACTGCCCAAATGCTCCTGGTGTTCGGGACCCAACTGCATCAGTTGTTGCTGGAAACTGAAATGCCCAAAATCAAAATGCTTGAATCCTTGCTGCTGCTTCAAATGTTTGCAGTGGAAATGTTGTTCCTGCTGCACCTGTTGTGGAGCAAGCAGTAGACAAGATGGATAACAGGGATAATGTGCTTGTATAGATTGCTGAACTTGCTAACATCCCTCTAATCTTGTGCAGCAATGTACAAAACAGGAGAAAATAGATTTTCTGATATCTTTAGGAAAGCTATACAATTAAATCATATCTTGTTATTGTATTCCTAAAATCCTTTGTTCCATGAACATAGAAAATCCTTTATTTCATAGGCTGAAATGCTTAATCAGACACAAACACATGCATAATATCATCTTTCAGAAGAAGACAAGCAACAGGTTTAGCATCTTCTGTATGAATTCTATAGCAGAAGTCTGCAAGGGCAAGAATACAGAGGTTGAATTTAGAGAGTACTTTATCAACTTCAGAATCTTGAAGCCACATATTCTGCGATTGCCATGCTTGAAGTCAGGCCAGGTGATTCGATTCCGAAAAGATTTACAAGACCAGGTACCCCGTGAGTGTCTTCTCCCTGCACAAATTGGAGTGAATAAATCATGGGTGACAAGTGAAAAGAACTCCTACCAGGAGCATCTCATGGGTGAGGGGCAGCTTTTTGAGCAAAAAACTAAATAAATAACTCAACAGAAAAGTTTGAAAAGAAACCTGTATTACAAAATCAAACGGAGCCTGTCCAGGACCTGAAAGTTTGGGTCGAATCCCAGCATAACCTGGCTCTAGAGATCCATCTTTAAGGTTTGGGAAATACTTGCGTATCTCTGGGTAAAATCTTTCAGCACGATCAGTTTTTACTGTGTAGTCGAACCTGGAGCCAAGGCCCTATTATTATTAACCTCATATCTCATACATGTGCCTAGTACCTTTCAATGAATGGTACAAGCACACTACATTTTTAAGGCTGAAGCTAACAGGTTAAAACGCTTTATGGGAAGATGTACAATGGGCTTGTGAAATTGGTCCAGCTTCTATTTCACAAAATGCCAAGTATGAATTTATAAAATTTATAATGCCAACTAACTCGAGACCAGCTAAAGAGAAACCTATATCAACTTCACTGCACATCATCAAGTCAAGTAGTTATTGGTAGTTCTAACCATTACTTCATGCAAAATGTCCTAGGCACATTGCCACATCCAACCTTATTTTCAAATAACTGCTAATGGGAAGCATTATGTCTGGTTGTCTATTCATAATGCACTACAGAGTAACTGCTATAGATAACTCTACCACCCAATCATGCAGAAAAATACAAATAAAACAGAAACAGTGGTTAACATAAAGAAAACATACTTGTTAAGGAAACTTGATATGTCATCCACACCAGTGATCCACTCAACATCTGGTCCAAACTTGACCTGGCCATCTAAATCTAGAGTGACATGCACTCCTAAGCCTCCTTCCTCTGGTATGGGATATATCAAACGTTTGAAAGGAGGGACCCTAGTATTTGAGAGAGTGAAGTAGCAACCACGGGCATAATATGAAGGAGGAATTGCACCATGATGCAGACCCTGGACTCTCTTTGCAAGTGCTGGGGCACTTAAGCCTGTAGAATTAACAACTACCTTAGGAATCAGAATAAGATCTGGGTGCAATGAAGTCCTTCCATCCCAGTTTCCAAGATCTTTGCTTTCTGATGCATAGAGGAACATTTGATGTCCTTCAAGTTCACCTCCAATGATTGTAGTGTTGTAGGAGAAGGTTGTTCTGTTACTTTCAGCCTCCCCCTGGATAATATTCCTGACAACATGCAGTCATAACTTACCAAAAAAGATGAGGGATGACAATGGCTTCACAAAACAAATAACCATACCCAGTAATCACGGGCTCAAGAAAAATAGATATGCATACCACTAGAGACAACATCAGAGAATGGGTATCAACAATCCCAGAAGCAGGCGATAGTAGGGCCTTGACACATTGCAATTCCGGCTCCATTCTCATGGCTTCAGAAGCCTCCAACATCCTAAGACCTTCAACACCATTTTCAATTCCACAATTCAACAGATGATTCAACTGAGGGATCTCTGATGCTCCAGTAGCCACTATAAGTTTACCAATCTGTTTGTGAGGTACCCCATGTTCTGAGCAAAACCTATATAGCAACTTCCTCCCTTTAACACAGAAAAGAGCCTACAAAACAGGTTCCCTTGAATGTAAATACAGCCATAAACATGAATGTCAGACAATCATAAGTAAAACCATGCAAATCCACTTTCGTACAGGGCATTAACTACAAATTCATCATTTTCAATTTCAAGATGATATCTTTCACTCATGCTGCATTGGTACCAAGGAAGAACTTTTAATTAGAAGGGGAAAGAAAGGAGACCTTGAAGGAATTGGGAGGATAGTAAATTCCGGCGTGGATGACTTCACTGTTGCGGGAGCTGGTGCCGGTGCCGAACGTGGGGGCGGAATCCACGACCAGGACTTCTTTCCCCCTGATCGACAGCTCTCTGGCCACTGCCAATCCCACCACCCCAGCTCCTATCACCACGCACTCCACCTTCTCCTTCGGAGCATTTGTTGTTGAAATACCAGCTCCGAAATTGAAGCCCTTCGA